GTCTCCCACCTGGCACCAGGCCAGTGTTCAGTGTCTCCCACCTGGCACCAGGACAGTGTTCAGTGTCTCCCACCTGGCACCAGGACAGTGTTCAGTGTCTCCCACCTGGCACCAGGACAGTGTTCAGTGTCTCCCACCTGGCACCAGGACAGTGTTCAGTGTCTCCCACCTGGCACCAGGCCAGTGTTCAGTGTCTCCCACCTGGTACCAGGACAGTGTTCAGTGTCTCCCACCTGGCACCAGGATAGTGTTCAGTGTCTCCCACCTGGCACCAGGACAGTGTATAGTGTCTCCCACCTCGCACCAGGACAGTGATTAGTGTCACCCACCTGGCACTAGGACAGTGATTAGTGTCTCCCACCTGGCACCAGGCCAGTGTCTCCCACCTGGCACCAGGCCAGTGTCTCCCACCTGGCACCAGGCCAGTGTCTCCCACCTGGCACCAGGCCAGTGTCTCCCACCTGGCACCAGGCCAGTGTCTCCCACCTGGCACCAGGCCAGTGTCTCCCACCTGGCACCAGACCAGTGTCTCCCACCTGGCACCAGGCCAGTGTCTCCCACCTGGCACCAGGCCAGTGTCTCCCACCAGGCACCAGGCCAGTGTCTCCCACCTAGCACCAGGCCAGTGTCTCCCACCTGGCACCAGGCCAGAGTCTTCCACCTGGCACCAGGCCAGTGTCTCCCACCTGGCAACAGGCCAGTGTCTCCCACCTGGCACCAGGCCAGTGTCTCCCACCTGGCACCAGGCCAGTGTCTCCCACCTGGCACCAGGCCAGTGTCTCCCACCTGGCACCAGGCCAGTGTCTCCCATCTGGCAACAGGCCAGTGTCTCCCACCTGGCACCAGGCCAGTGTCTCCCACCTGGCACCAGGCCAGTGTCTCCCACCTGGCACCAGGCCAGTGTCTCCCACCTGGCACCAGGCCAGTGTCTCCCACCTGGCACCAGGCCAGTGTCTTCCACCTGGCACCAGGCCAGTGTCTCCCACCTGGCAACAGGCCAGTGTCTCCCACCTGGCACCAGGCCAGTGTCTCCCACCTGGCACCAGGCCAGTGTCTCCCACCTGGCACCAGGCCAGTGTCTCCCACCTGGCACCAGGCCAGTGTCTCCCACCTGGCACCAGGCCAGTGTCTCCCACCTGGCACCAGGCCAGTGTCTCCCACCTGGCACCAGGCCAGTGTCTCCCACCTGGCACCAGGCCAGTGTCTCCCACCTGGCACCAGGCCAGTGTCTCCCACCTGGCACCAGGCCAGTGTCTCCCACCTGGCACCAGGCCAGTGTCTCTCACCTGGCACCAGGCCAGTGTCTCCCACCTGGCACCAGGCCAGTGTCTCCCACCTAGCACCAGGCCAGTGTTCTCCCACCTGGCACCAGGCCAGTGTCTCCCCACCTGGCACCCAGGCCAGTGTCTCCCACCTGGCACCAGGCCAGTGTCTCCCACCTGGCACCAGGCCAGTGTCTCCCACCTGGCACCAGGCCAGTGTCTCCCACCTGCACCAGGCCAGTGTCTCCCACCTGGCACCAGGCCAGTGTCTCCCAACTGGCACCAGGCCAGTGTCTATCCTCCCATCTGGCACCAGGCCAGTGTCTCCCACCTGGCACCAGGCCAGTGTCTCCCACCTGGCACCAGGCCAGTGTCTCCCACCTAGCACCAGGCCAGTGTCTCCCACCTGGCACCAGGCCAGTGTCTCCCACCTGGCACCAGGCCAGTGTCTCCCACCTGGCACCAGGCCAGTGTCTCCCACCTAGCACCAGGCCAGTGTCTCCCACCTGGCACCAGGCCAGTGTCTCCCACCTGGCACCAGGCCAGTGTCTCCCACCTGGCACCAGGCCAGTGTCTCCCACCTGGCACCAGGCCAGTGTCTCCCATCTGGCACCAGGCCAGTGTCTCCCACCTGGCACCAGGCCAGTGTCTCCCACCTGGCACCAGGCCAGTGTCTCCACCTAGCACCAGGCCAGTGTCTCCCACCTGGCACCAGGCCAGTGTCTCCCACCTGGCACCAGGCCAGTGTCTCCCACCTGGCACCAGGCCAGTGTCTCCCACCTAGCACCAGGCCAGTGTCTCCCACCTGGCACCAGGCCAGTGTCTCCCACCTGGCACCAGGCCAGTGTCTCCCACCTGGCACCAGGCCAGTGTCTCCCACCTGGCACCAGGCCAGTGTCTCCCATCTGGCACCAGGCCAGTGTCTCCCACCTGGCACCAGGCCAGTGTCTCCCACCTAGCACCAGGCCAGTGTCTCCCACCAGGCACCAGGCCAGTGTCTCCCACCTGGCACCAGGCCAGTGTCTCCCACCTGGCACCAGGCCAGTGTCTCCCACCTGGCACCAGGCCAGTGTCTCCCACCTGGCACCAGGCCAGTGTCTCCCACCAGGCACCAGGCCAGTGTCTCCCACCTGGCACCAGGCCAGTGTCTCCCACCTGGCACCAGGCCAGTGTCTCCCACCTGGCACCAGGCCAGTGTCTCCCACCTGGCACCAGGCCAGTGTCTCCCACCTGGCACCAGGCCAGTGTCTCCCACCTGGCACCAGGCCAGTGTCTCCCACCTGGCACCAGGCCAGTGTCTCCCACCTGGCACCAGGCCAGTGTCTCCCACCTGGCACCAGGCCAGTGTCTCCCACCTGGCACCAGGCCAGTGTCTCCCACCTGGCACCAGGCCAGTGTCTCCCACCTGGCACCAGGCCAGTGTCTCCCACCTGGCACCAGGCCAGTGTCTCCCACCAGGCACCAGGCCAGTGTCTCCCACCTGGCACCAGGCCAGTGTCTCCCACCTGGCACCAGGCCAGTGTCTCCCACCTGGCACCAGGCCAGTGTCTCCCACCTGGCACCAGGCCAGTGTCTCCCACCTGGCACCAGGCCAGTTCCTCCCACCTGGCACCAGGCCCAGGTGTCTCCCACCTGGCACCAGGCCAGTGTCTCCCACCTAGCACCAGGCCAGTGTCTCCCACCTGGCACCAGGCCAGTGTCTCCCACCTGGCACCAGGCCAGTGTCTCCCACCTGGCACCAGGCCAGTGTCTCCCACCTAGCACCAGGCCAGTGTCTCCCACCTGGCACCAGGCCAGTGTCTCCCACCTGGCACCAGGCCAGTGTCTCCCACCTGGCACCAGGCCAGTGTCTCCCACCTGGCACCAGGCCAGTGTCTCCCACCTGGCACCAGGCCAGTGTCTCCCACCTGGCACCAGGCCAGTGTCTCCCACCAGGCACCAGGCCAGTGTCTCCCACCAGGCACCAGGCCAGTGTCTCCCACCAGGCACCAGGCCAGTGTCTCCCACCAGGCACCAGGCCAGTGTCTCCCACCAGGCACCAGGCCAGTGTCTCCCACCTGGCCCAACTCACTGGACAGGAAGACATCTATTTGTGTACCACATGTTGACACGAGACAATAATATTTTGTACCGATGCTCAATTTTTGGCCGGTACTTTCTCAAGATATTTTTTTGCATTTTTTAAATTAATATAACTATGCTCATTATATATACGGAATGCTTATTGTTCAGTAGGTATTAAATAACCTAGGAAGGTTAATTTATCTTAGATAACACTGTTATTACTTACTACCATCCCGTGAACCTTCAAAAATATAAACGTAAGAACATGAGAAAGAGGGAACACTGTAACAGGCCTACTAGCCCATGTGAGGCAGGTCCAAGTCTCCTACCGGCTTAAGTCAATGCCCCAACCTAGTCAGGTCGCATTCACTTAACGAAGGAGCATGGCATCTCACCTAGTAGCACAAGCTAGTCAGGTCCAACTCACACCCACCCGCACCCACTCATGTATTTATGTAACCTATTTTTAAAATTACACAACGTTTCAGCCTCTATAATTACACTTGGGAGTTTGTTCCACTCATCCACAACTCTATTACCAAACCAGTGCTTTCCTATATCCTTCCTGAAGGGACTGATTACCTCAATCTCCTCCTCTCATTACCCATTTCTACTTTGTATTGGACTTATGAAGCCACTGTGTGGCGAAACGTTTCTTCAATAAAGATTCCCATATGTTGCAAAAGTGTCTCAGTTCTTCAACTTGTCAGTTTTCAAAACCATTCATCACATGTTGGACTACACGCTGCATCAGTAACAACCTGGTTGATAAGGTCTTGACCCACCTAGAAGCCTGATCTGGCACGTTCAGCGGGGGCGCTTACCCCCAAAACATCCTTCAGGTATCCTTCACGTCTAACAAAAGCCTACTGTGTGGGCGAAGCGTTTCGAAAATAAAAATATTCAACTGATGCTCATTTGTCTTATTCATTTCGTTACTGCTTAATACTGCTAGCAAACCAGCTGCATTCTCTGAGTTCTTGACCTGCTGAATTATCACCTGAGTTTCAGTTTATACTTAATATTGTTAAGGTTTGTTTTACATGACTCATCCACTGCAGTGACACTTTAAAAGTTGACATTGTGTTAGCAAAGACTGAGGATCTCAGATCACTCAAAACTTTGTTGACGAAATTATTTCGAGTATTGTACTTGAGGCAGCAGTGCTAGACCAGACAACTTCTTTCACTAAAACGAATTGTTGTTTTGCGATACATTTTCAACAAAGAAGATAACTTGCCAATAAGATTCTACTTGCATCGAATGACGGCAGATGTGTGATAAGTAAGCAATACGTTGCAAAGGCTTGAAACGATAGATGCGATCTAGCATTAAATAAATTAACTAACTAAAAATAAGGATTATTAGTTTTATTGTTTATAAATATTTGAAGTTTCTACGGACCTCAGTTTGGAGACTTATACTGAGTGTACACCATCACTAATCCAACACTGTTTTATATTACATGAAGGGTTTTCTCTCCTGCTGTTTCCATTATGCTCCTTTCTGAAGTTTTACGAGATTGCGGAGATTTTTTTTTGCAAAATATTCCTTACAAATTGATAATTTGGTTTAACTTTAAAAGGAGTAATTAGGCTCCGACATTTACACAACACCTCCCTTATTACAAGTGTTGTCAGGCAACAAATCAGGAAATAATCAACTCACATGAATATCCGCTGCCCCTCGTTGGGAGGAACCGAAGTAACAATGTACCATCAGGGAACATTGTTACAATAGTCATGTTGAGCTTTTGTCTCCCCGGGAACGTGTGTATATATATAAAACTTGCCGGCCACAACACTGACACTAACCGTCCACCACAGCTGCAAGTAACCACCTGTCTGCTGTTCTCTCAGGTGAGCCAACTGCCAGTAACCACCTGTTTGTTATTCTCTCACTAAGGTGAGTCAGCTCTTAGTAACCACCTGTCTGCTACACTCTTACTAACCATGGTCACCACCAACATTCAGTGTTGGATGCAGTCCTCGATGACCCTTTCTCTCTCTGGGTCACAACAACAAATTCTCTCTCCTTCACCCACAGTGTTGGTGACCACCATCATGAATATGTTGACCCAAGTAGTAGCGGTGATGGCGGTGGTGGTGATGACTCTGATGGTGATGACTGAAGCTCATGCCCTGCCCAGGAGACATCATGGTCAAGCACATCAGTTATGTCAAGCTCCTGAATCACACATCATTATGACCAACCTCAGTAAGTTTGGAGTACTTATCTATATGTAGCTGCAGTGGTCGATTCTCAGCTCCTGGCCCGCCTCTTTGCTGGTTACTATTTGGCCCACTCTCCTAGCTTAGAGAGCCTTATCATACCTCTTCTCAAACATATGTACGGATTTTGCTTCTGCCTCTTCATTTTCCAGGTCGTTCCACTTTTCGACTACACTAAAGCTGAATAAATACTTTCTAAAATCCCTGTGAATCTGTTTTCAACTTGGGTCTTCGTGTTCCTGTTTTTCCGTCTTTGAGACAGTCTGTCTCTGTTCATTATATCAACTCATATCAGTATTTTGTACATTATCACATCACCTTAGTCTTTCCGTCCTGCAGTGTTGTCAGCTTGAGTTCCCTTAAATTTTCCTCATAGAACACATCCCTTAGCTCCTGGACTAGTCTCGTTGGAAATATCTGAACTTTCTTCAATTTCTTGATATGCTTTACCAGGTGTGGGTTTCGTACTGGTGCTGCATACTCCAAATACGGGGCTAACGTACACGGTGTACAGTGTCGTTAATGATTCCTTAGATTTCTGAAAGGTAGTCTTGGATTTGCTAGACGTGAATTTATTGGGTTGATGGGCCCATCAGTCAATTAGCTCGTACAGTACTCACCCTAAGGTTTTTCTCCTTGAGTAAGGTTTACAGGATTTGATCCTCGTCCTCGAGTTTGTACTCTGTCTATGGTTTTTCTTTCCCAGATTTCATAGCTTTGTACTTGCTGGGGTTAAACTGCAGTAGCCACTTATCAGATAATACCTGCAGCCTGTCCAGGTTAATTTGTAGACTTTCTGGTTCTGGTCCGTTTGTATTGTCATTAGTTTCACATCATTTGCGAACAAGAAGATCTGACTCTATACCTTCCATTATGTTATTCACGTAAAAATTACATCGTACTGTGTGTGTGTGTGTGTGTGTGTGTATCCAACACACACACACACACACACACACAAGTACACGCACACATGTACAACGTCAGTTGTACAAGAAAGTAAAAAATCAAAACGAGAGGATGTGGAAGAGATAAAAGTAGACAGGAAACTGGCAAAAATGAGTAATTTACAGTTGGGTGTTGTGTGTATGGAAGTGCTGGGACTATGATCAAGCAAACAGTAAGCTGACACATGATTTAAAAGACCTTATATCGAAGGAACTGCTGGTCTTCAAAAAACAAATGTGCCTTTCCAAACCTAGTTGAATCTCCTCACTCTGCAGTGTCAGTTGTGCTTGTAGACGGAAAGGTAAAAATCCGTCAGTGGAAGCTTGTAGAATATACTCGGAAAGTATTAGATTCGGTAGTTCAGTTCTTCAAACATATTTTGTCAGGCTATTGGAATTTTTGAGAACGTCATGTATTTTGTACATTTGTAAGCCGTATTTCTCTTTTAATAATCATTATTTTCCTCACTCTACAGAGGATAAGAATGTTACTGACACTGATGTATGATGCAGTGCCTCCTGTTTAACATTCTACATGCATATCAGCAGAATATTTGCTGTATTTCAGTTGCTTAACAGATGACCGACTACAGTAACTTGTGGATCATCGCTGCTGATCGCATCAACTTCTTCCTTCAATACTCACACTGATGCACAGTCGTGTCCCTTGATCTTTCTTGCCTAACATTCACTGTTTTATCAAATTTTTTGTTTTTGTTTTATTTGGCGTCTGCTTATCTCTGCTTTTAGTTATCGGTCCTGTCTGTGTCCTCAGCAAAGTCGTCCTGGAATCTGTTACTCAGTTTCTTGCAGACATCCCCATGGTTATATTGGATTTTTTCAGTAATTCCTTAATCTTATTTTCTAGTCTTCTGCAGTCTTTAGAAAGTAGCTTTGTAAAAACTGCAGAACATTTTGTTTTAAATTTACAATTACTTTTCAGCCATTCAGTTTATCTTTATATATTTTTATTATTCTGCTTATTTCTTTGTCTTCCATCATCTATCCTTCCCTATGTTTTATCATGCTTCGCTATTGCCTTTACATTTCCTAGAACTCTGGTTAAATGACTGACGTTTATTATATTTTCTTTACAACTCCTGACAAGAATGAGTTACTGTAGTCTCTTGGCGAGGCATTTTATCATACATTTTCTTTTTTTATCATATCTTGAGCTTTTTCTTTTTTCATCGTGTCTTGAGCTGTTTAGTTTAGTGTATTATAGAAATGAAAACTTGCATCCTCTCACAATATCTTCAGTTCAGGCGTCACTGACTGATGTATGTCTCCAGCTCAGGAACTGTGCACCCAAGACAACAACACCAAGTGTGTCGCCAACATGGAGAGTTGCCTGAGAGAGACTACAACACCAAAACCTGGCAACTCAGCTAATGAGAAGCAGCAGATCCTGCTAAACATCACAGCTTGCGCCCAGCAGCTGGGCTACAACATAACTAACCCTGGAAATTCCAGTGAACACCATGGCTCTCCTAATGGGCATCATGGCACTCATAATAAGCATCATGGCTCTCCTAATGGGCATCATGGCTCTCCTAATGGGCATCATGGTACACCTACTGGGCACCATGGTACTCATACTGGACCTGACAGCTCCTGGGAGAACAGTTAGTACTCTTAGAGCCACATTTTTACTGAAACATCTTTAAATTTAAGAGCCTCTCTATATCTCACGTTAATAAGGTTTAACATGAAAACACTTTCTTCAGTACCCTATGAAAATGCTAATTATTATTTTCTTATAGGACAGAGTATAAAATGCGTTTGAGTATTTTTTGCAGATTCCCAGAATGGTTTTAGCAAATGTCGCAACAAGCTCCGAGGTCCTGAGAGGTATTTCCAAAAGTTGGGTCTCTCCACTGACCAGTTCCTTCCCATGATCACCTGTCTTATGACCATGAGCGGACAGGTGAGTTGTCTGTAATTATTTATTGTTTAAGTATGCACGATGGGAAGGATTGTAGTGTTTTTAACTGAACTGTTTCAATTAACCCCTGAGAACCTCCTCTCTGTCACGGGCTAGGTTCTCCTTCTGTTTTACTGCATTTATGGTAAGAAATGTATTTCCAGCAGTCTCTGTGGTCGTGTTGAGCGACCAGCATTCATCCTTGTCATTCCTTCTTGTGGTATTCATGGTGACATTTGTACCAGAGGTTGATCATTTCTTGTACTATTCATGGTAACATTTGTACCAGGGTTTGATTCCTTCTTGTGGTATTCATGATAACATTTGTACCAGGGTTTGATTCCTTCTTGTGGTATTCATGGTAACATTAGTATGAGTGACTTCCACCAGAGTTCCTTCTCGTAGTTTACCTGCTGATGTTTCTACAAGTTGTGTTGTTGTTGATGTCTCAGTTTCCATTATGTGTCTCACTTCTATTCTTAATATTTTCTTAATATTGTGCAATCAAATTTATATAAAAAATTAAATCTAGTAATTATTATTCTTCAATTAAGAATCTTATTTTTTCTTGATTTTCAATTTTAATACTGATTCTCGAAGATAGTTTTTTATTAATTTCTGTGACTATCATAGTATAACATTCGATTTTTCCTGTTCACTCGTTTATTAATGTTTCTCGAATGACTTTCTCAAAGGTTTTGAAATTTTTAGTGCGCCTTGTCAGTAGTTCCAGCTTTCTTAATGCTCATTAACATCTGTGTACTTTTGTACTGAAGTGGTGAAAATGATCCAAGTGACAATTAACATCGATTATACTTTCTCAGGAAGTTGTTTAAGTGTGTTCCTTTGTTATTTCGAAGATCTTCACCTTGTTTGTAGTACGTTCAGTGACCTTTATCACGCTGTTTGTAGTACGTTCAGTGACCTTTATCACGCTGTTTGTAGTACGTTCAGTGACCTTTATCACGCTGTTTGTAGTACGTTCAGTGACCTTTATCACACTGTAGTACGTTCAATGACGTATATGACACTTGTTTGTGGGACGTTCACTGACCTTCATCGTTGTTTGTAGTATATAATAAACACAATGCATGAAGTATACAAATGATGAGCCAGTAACTCCAAAGAGAGAATAAAAAGTTATCATTTCCCCACAGCTTGATTCATTCAGCACTTGCATCAACCAGTAGCATCAACGATCACCGTTGCAGACTACATCAACCAGTAGCAACAACAGTGTTACAGACCTTGGCATCTACATCAGCCAGGGGCAACAACAATCAGTTTTGCAGACTCTGGCATGTATATCAACCAGTGGTAACAACAATCAACATTGCAGACCCTGGCATCTACAATGGAACCACACTTCGGCAATTCCATATATTAAACTCTCGTAGGAACTTGCGCTAGAAATCTGCAGAAACAGCAGTTTAACTATCCCTCAACAATGACTAGATCTGTATTGCTATCCTTCACACATGACTAGAGCTGCCTAGCTATCCTCTCCCATCTCTCTGCACCTCCACTTTAAAAATTCACGAATTTTATCCCTAGAGAGAACAACTGCATCACCAGGTCAACTTTGACTTTACTCAATTATTACTGCAGCAGATATGTGGTACAGTGACGTAGCAGCTTCAGTAGTAACAAGTGAAGTCACAACTGTAGTAGTAACAAGTGAAGTCACAACTGTAGTAGTAACAAGTGAAGTCACAACTGTAGTAGTAACAAGTGAAGTCACAACTGTAGTAGTAACAAGTGAAGTCACAACTGTAGTAGTAACAAGTGAAGTCACAACTGTAGTAGTAACAAGTGAAATCACAACTGTAGTAGTAACAAGTGATGTAACATCTGTAGTAGTAACAAGTGATGTAGCAGGTGAAGCACAAGGTAATCAAGCAGCTGTTCTGAGAGGAGGGAAGATATAGGGTTACATCACTGCCTCAGACACACAGCAATAATCAATGTTAACAGCGAGGTATACACAGAGAGCAGAGGTCGTATAACATTTACATATAGGAGGAAAACAGCACTAACAGCAGCAGCCTTCCTTTTGAAATGACAAGAACAGCAAAATTAACACCGCAAGCAGCAACATCAACATCACAGACAGAAGGAGCAACAGCGTCAGCAAGATTCCATAACTCTGCAACAGTAAGAAACATTATACAAACAACATCAGAAAACAAACAAAAGTCCACAAACAACAGAACACGAGTGGCTGTTATTTTGGGATATATTTTCGCAGGCATCGAAAAATAGTTTCCTTTCATATGATTATTTTCCTTCCTTTAGTTCGCACATGTTTACTGTTTTATAACATTAATAAATATATATCACCAAAAAGTGTTTTTTTCCGTACATTGTTACTGACAACACTGTTACTGACAACACTGTTACTGACAACACTGTTACTGACAACACTGTACATCATGGTGGACCAACACTGTTACTGACAACACTGTACATCATGGTGGACCAACACTGTTACTGACAACACTGTACATCATGGTGGACCAACACTGTTACTGACAACACTGTACATCATGGTGGACCAACACTGTTACTGACAACACTGTACATCATGGTGGACCAACACTGTTACTGACAACACTGTACATCATGGTGGACCAACACTGTTACTGACAACACTGTACATCATGGTGGACCAACACTGTTACTGACAACACTGTACATCATGGTGGACCAACACTGTTACTGACAACACTGTACATCATGGTGGACCAACACTGTTACTGACAACACTGTACATCATGGTGGACCAACACTGTTACTGACAACACTGTACATCATGGTGGACCAACACTGTTACTGACAACACTGTACATCATGGTGGACCAACACTGTTACTGACAACACTGTACATCATGGTGGACCAACACTGTTACTGACAACACTGTACATCATGGTGGACCAACACTGTTACTGACAACACTGTACATCATGGTGGACCAACACTGTTACTGACAACACTGTACATCATGGTGGACAAACACTGTTACTGACAACACTGTACATCATGGTGGACCAACACTGTTACTGACAACACTGTACATCATGGTGGACCAACACTGTTACTGACAACACTTTACATCATGGTGGACCAACACTGTTACTGACAACACTGTATATCATGGTGGACCAACACTGTTACTGACAACACTGTACATCATGGTGGACCAACACTGTTACTGACAACACTGTACATCATGGTGGACCCAACACTGTTACTGACAACACTGTACATCATGGTGGACCAACACTGTTACTGACAACACTTTACATCATGGTGGACCAACACTGTTACTGACAACACTGTATATCATGGTGGACCAACACTGTTACTGACAACACTGTACATCATGGTGGACCAACACTGTTACTGACAACACTGTATATCATGGTGGACCAACACTGTTACTGACAACACTGTACATCATGGTGGACCAACACTGTTACTGACAACACTGTATATCATGGTGGACCAACACTGTTACTGACAACACTGTACATCATGGTGGACCAACACTGTTACTGACAACACTGTACATCATGGTGGACCAACACTGTACATCATGGTGGACCAGCACTGTTACTGATAACACTGTATATCATGGTGGACCAACACTGTTACTGACAACACTGTAACATCATGGTGACCAACACTGTTACTGACAACACTGTACATCATGGTGGACCAACACTGTTACTGACAACACTGTACATCATAGTGGAACAACACTGTTACTGACAACACTGTACATCATGGTGGACCAACACTCTTACTGACAACACTGTATATCATGGTGGACCAACACTGTTACTGACAACACTGTACATCATGGTGGACCAACACTGTTACTGACAACACTGTATATCATGGTAGATCAACACTTACTGACAACACTGTACATCATGGTGGACCAACACTGTTACTGACAACACTGTACATCATGGTGGACCAACACTCTTACTGACAACACTGTACATCATGGTAGATCAACACTTACTGACAACACTGTACATCATGGTGGACCAACACTGTTACTGACAGCACTGAACATCATGGTGGATCAACACTCTTACTGACAACACTGTACATCAAGGTGGACCAACACTCTTACTGACAACACTGTACATCAAGGTGGACTAACACTGTTACTGACAACACTGTACATCATGGTGGACCAACACTGTTACTGACAACACTGTACATCATGGTGGACCAACACTCTTACTGACAACACTGTACATCATGGTGGACCAACACTCTTACTAACAACACTGTACATCAAGGTGGACCAACACTGTACATCATGGTGGACCAACACTGTTACTGACAACACTGTACATCAAGGTGGACCAACACTGTACATCATGGTGGGCCAACACTGTTACTAACAACACTGTACATCAAGGTGGACCAAAACTGTACATCATGGTGGACCAACAGTGTCACTGACAACACTGTACATCACGGTGGACCAACACTGTTACTGGCAACACTGTATATTATCGTGGACCAACACTATTACTGACAACACTGTACATCATGGTGGACCATCACTGTTACTGACAACACTGCACATCATGGTGGACCAACACTGTCCCAGACAACACTGTACATCATTGTATACCAAAACTGTCTCTGACAACACTGTACATCATGGTGGACCAATAGTGTCACTGACATCACTGTACATCATGGTGGACCAACAGTGTCACTGGCAACACTGTACCAAGGAGCAAGGCGGAGGACCAGGGATCTGGTGGATGTAACTGGGAGGGAAGATTGGCAGGAAGAGCTCACAAAAAGGGAGGAAGAGTGGGGAAGGAAGCTAGAGGAGCTTGGCATGAAAATGGAGGAAAGGATAACTGCAGAGAGCAGGAAATTGGAGCTACGAGCCAAAGCAGCAGAAGCTAAGATACAATGCTTAGAAGAGGAACTAAAAAACCTGAAATGGCTTAAAGAAACCAAAGACAGCACAGCCATGACATCAGGGACTTCTATATCAGTTACAGAGGAGGGGACTGTAGGGAACAAAAGAGCTATACTGTATGCGAAGGTCCTGTCAGACCCACGTGAGGCCCAGAACAAATGAGGGGTCTGAAGGCAATGAAGGAGCTATGCTCCGTGCAGAGACTCTAGACAACTGCAGTGGCCTTGAACAGCTGAGCAGGAAAGACAGACCACTGAGCATAGGAGTTTCGTCCAGGGAAGAAATCGAGGACAGGACCACTTCAATGGAAGGAACTAAAACTCCTCAGGGGATGCAAAGGGAGTCACAGTTGGAGGATGAAAGGCAGAGGTCAGTTTTTGTCTACTGGCTCCAAGAAGTCAAGGGGAAAACCTATGATGAAAGAAAACAGGAGGAGAAAAAAGAGATTGAAAGCATCATGAGAGCAATAGGCGAGGACGACACGACCCAGGTGACAAATTTTCGGAGAATTTATCTGGTTTGCAAGTGGAAGAAAACAGCCTGTCAAAGTAATCTTCAAGGCAGCATCAGCTCGAACCAGGATCCTACAGGAAAAAGCACGACTGAGAGACATACCGGAGTACTGGAGAATGTACCTTGATCGAGACAGAACACAAAAGGAAAGAATGATACTGAAAGAGAGGGTACAAAGATGAAAGGAGGAACGAGAGGCAATGATGAAGATGAGCAGAACCCAGAACCAGGTGGAAGAGCAAACACACCCACCAGAAACACCCACAGAAGGACTCCAACTATGACATCTCCAATGCATCTGAACACTCCAAACCAAAACCCACACATTGTTCTCTCTGTCAACACCCCCCACAACACAAACTCCACCCCTACAGCAACCCCCTATGGGCACTCTGACCCTACCCCCACTACAAACCCCCATAGGCCCCTGCCAGGGCTCCTACTCCCCCAACCCCAATATTCACCCAGGACCACAGTTTTAGAAAAGAAGTTGAAGGTTTGGTACATGAAGCGGATGGAACATTGAACAAATATGACGAGTGGCATGAAAGAATCAATGATAAGTAGCCAGACATTATAGCAGTCACAGAAACGAAACTCACTGAGACAATAACAGATGCAATCTTCCCATTGGGATATCAGATTCTGAGGAAGTAGCAGAGGGGGAGGAGGGGCTGCACTGCTTATCAAAAACCAATAGGGATTTGAGGAAATAGAAGGCATGGACGAGAGTGGAGAAAGGGAGTACATAGTAGGTACCACCACAGAACTGCGGGAGGCCAAGAGAGGAATATGAAGAGAGCAGCAGAGCGATGGTGGACACACTGACTGAGGTGGCAAGAGCTCACTCGATCAGCGCAAAGTTACTGGTTATGAGCGATTTCAACCACAGGGAGATCGATTGGGAAAACCTGGTGCCACATGGGGGCCCTGAAACATGGAGAGCCAAGATGATAGATGTGGTACTGGAAAACCTCATGCATCAACATGTCAGGACCCTACCAGAGAGAGAGGGGAGGACGAACCAGTAAGACTGGACCTTGTGTTCATCCTGAACAGTTCAGACACTGAGGACATCACATACAAGAGGGCCCTTGGAGCTAGTGATCACGTGGTTCTGAGTTTTGAGTACATAATAGAGTTACCAGTGGAGAGGGTTACAGGAGTTGAATGGGAAAAGCCAAATTATAAAAGGGGAAACTACACAGGTATGAGGAACTTCCTGCAGGACGTTCAGTGGGACAGATAATTGGTAGGAAAGTCAGTAAACGAAATGATGGAATATGTAAGAACAAAATACAAGGAGGCAGAGGTAAGGTTTGTTCCCAAGGGCAACAGAAACAATGGGAAGACCAGAACGAGCCCTTGGTTTACCCGAAGGTGTAGTGAGGCAAAAATTAAGTGCACTAGAGAATGGAAAAAGTACAGGATGCAAAGGACCCAGGAAAATAAGGGGATTAGTCAAAGAGCCAGAAGCGAGTATGCACAGAAAAGGAGGGAGGCCCAGCGACAGTGTGAAAACAACATAGCATTGAAAGTCAAGGGTGACCCAAAACTACTGTATAACCACATTAGGAGGAAGACAACAGTCAAAGACCAGGTGATCAGGCTGAGGAAAGAAGGTGGAGAACTCACATGAAACGACCAAGAGGTATGTGAGGTGCTCAACAAGAAATTTAAGGAAATATTTACAGTGGAGACAGGTAGAACTCTGGGAAGACAGAACAGAGGGGGTCACCAACAAGGAATATACCAACAAGTGTTGGATGACATGCACACAGCAGAGGAGGACGTGAAGAAGCTGCTAAGTGACCTTGATACCTCAAACGCGATGGGACCAGACAACATATCCCCATGGGT